GTGCGTGCGTGCGTGTGTGCATGACTCAAGTTTATTAAATTACAGCTGCGATCGCAAAGAGAGTAGCATAATTATTAGTGTAAACTCTAAGTTTATCCAATACAATCATCATAATCATGACTATCTTTTGTTCACGGAACAATATTATTATACAGCGCTCTTTTAAACTTTCGCTCCAAATACGCAATGAAAGGCGATAATAATAATTGATTTAATTATACTTTATCGTGGAAGTTTTACTATTGTGAGCCTTCGATTTTCGATTTTATAATATATTTACACATATATACAAGCTTACGATCCTACGAAATTTTCCATGAGAGAAAACGTAAAGAGAAAACTTTTAAATGTTTATTAAACTCCATGTATTATGAATATATGTACGAGTATTCCACATCAAATATCTTTCTTAAATTCTTAAGAATCCAAATGCTCCTTAGTAAAAGTAAACGATTCGGCGGATATCACCGTCGTACGAGGTAATATATGGAGCACAGTAAAATTTGCGATAAGAGACACCAAGGGGAGAGTCGATACGACGACGCTGAAGCAGAGAGCAGTCCGAATCGAAGACCGATGCTTCTCCGAAGATGCGCCCGCAGAACAGAATTGTGGGGTGGAATCTGCGCGCATTGACGCAGAGGAGCCTCCCACATATTGTCATCTCGCGAGCCCAACAGTAGAATGTACTGACCATTCCAGTTAATGCCCAGTTTGGCCCGCAGTCCCAACGTGGAGGGTGCTTCGACGGCGTGAGGTACGCAATTTCTCGGCCAGGTAATGAGCGGCACGCCGAGTCTGTGCCGATCGGCGGCATCAATGGCGCTACAACGAGTGGATATCGCGGCGTCTCCAGGAATCAAAATGCTCTCGGCAATGTGTAGATCCAGTTCCGTAGTACCAGTGAGGCTGTTCCAGGTGGGAAAAGGTTTTCTGGTAGTGGTCTCATCGTATGCTTGATGACCTCGTAGCATCGCTGCGAATCTTGATTCAACTATAGACTGTTCGTCGCGCAACAGTTGTCGATGAACGTCATCAGTCAGCGATCTCTTCTGTCTTTCTTCTACCTTTCTATCTATTGTATATACAGGCCGCTTCTTCGACCCGTTTTTCGCGAAATAAAATTTTTTTCGATAGACATCTAATATAACGCTTTGTACAGAATGATGAGTAGTTGGTGAATTGGTGACGCTCCTTTTGTACAAGAGCCTTGTGGAGATATTGAGATAGTGGCCGAGAAAAGTCTCTCGATCATCGACCTGTTCGTGACGTCTTTGTCTTCCAGTTCGCTGGATGTAACTTCCAGCCGCAGTTATCGCGTATAAAAACGTTGAACATTGCGGATCGTTGTAATAGTCCCATTGACCGGCCCATAATTTATCTCCCGAGTGTATCTGAAATTCACGTCTGGACCAGACACCTCCCTCGGAGCTTTCGCATCTCTCGCTGTGCCAATAACCTCCGATAAGTGCGGGTAGAGCTGCCGTTTGATGAAGAAGAGGTGGACTGAACTCGGTACTCCGAGACACGCTGCTGCATATCGGGCAACCGCTCGCCTGTAATATCGACATATATATATATA